CCTGCGGAGGACATGCACGCTCTTGGGGTGAGTTTCTCTGTACTTACTTAGCTTCCTACTTCACAGATCTTCACTTGACTCCCAGAACACTGTGAAGAGCCCTTTGGCCTAACACTAATGAGCTCAGACACTAGCAGATGGTTTACAGCTCACGTAACACTGTCACATTCAGTCCCTTTGATCCCATAACCCAAGATGTGAGCCCTCATGCTTTTCCCATTTTGCTGGAGAGGAAAACTGAGGCCCAGATAATGGAAGTGACTGGTACATTTTAGGGCCGACTCAGGTCTCCAGCCTCCCAAGGGTCCAAGTAGTGCTTTTGGAGACCTGTGTGCTTGGGTGTGGTGGCCCAGATGGAAGGAAAGTCTGCAGCCCTGTGCATATTAGTGAGGGAAATTTGCTACTGGCCCTTTTCTTCCTGTCTGGATGCTGGGAGCCTCCTGGGGAAAGTGGGGCAGGCTTGAACTTTGGGTTTTCAGAAGCTATTTACATAGCTTCCCACACAGTCTGTGAGGCAGTGCTATCTCCAGCTTCCCTGCTCAGCCCTCAGGCACCCAGGGATGCCTGTCCTATCTGCAGAGCAGTGGCATGTCGCTGGCAGCAAGGAGACAGGATCAGAGTAGAGTGGGCTCAGCTGCCTGTGCCACAGTGCTACACTGGGGCCTCCCAGGGATGCTCCAGACCCACCAGGCCAGCAGAGGGAAGGCAGGGGGCAGGTGGCAGGAGGCACTAGTGGAGCACAGCTGAGAGTCCCTCATCTGAACCTCTTCAAGGATGGAGTTAACAGGCTGCAGAGAAGGGAAAGAGCACTGATTGGTGCCAAGTTGACATCGAACTGAAATCTTACAGCAGCCCCATGAGAGAGGGATGGCTATCGTCCCTGTGCTACAGACGGGAAAAGAAGTCAGACATGAAACTGCCCAAGGTCACACAGTCCACGTGGCTTGAACACCCAAAGTCTCCCTCTCCTTCGGGGCAGTCGGTGGTGTCACTGCCACTGAGCAGGGCTGGCTGAGAGACTTATGGGAAGAAAACAGACACAAGAGGAGGGAGGGGTGCATAAAGGGTTTAGAAGGAGGCTTTGAAGGGGGACAGACGGGGAGCAGAAAAACAAGGGTGGCCAAAATGCAATTTATCAGGCCACTGATGGGCACCATGTGCATACCACACACTTGCCACTCAGCCGTAAGCCCCACCCGGCTGCACACCACCACCCCAACAAGGTCCCCCTTCTCCCTGCTCATCTGCACATGACCCTTCACAGGGCTGCCAAGGTCCACATACCATTCTTTGGGCATATTCCTTTCCCCAAACCCTAGAAGCAAGACAATCCTGAAATTCAATTCCATGTCAGGGATGATGTATGTTGACAGTCTCTGAACAGGTGGCTGGCCCTACATTGTCTAAACTGTCACCTGTCCTCTGTGAAATTGTGCCTGGTTCTCTGGGAGCAGACTAGGGCCTTCCTTTTCTGCCCCAACCAATATTGTCTTGAAATGTGACAGTGACAGCGCACAGTGAGCTATAGGAGAACAGGGAGTGAGATTTAAGATCATCCCTGTAGCCCAAGGATCCAGTGTAGTCCTTGGCACATAGCAGGATCTCCCTGAATGTTGTTGAATGGACAAATGACTGCAATTATCTCTACTATTCACTGAGTACCGGTCCCTGACCCAAGCTCTATGAGAGGACTTCAGCATACATTTTCTTAATATGCACCACAACACAAGACCGACTTTAATATCTTTGTCCTACAGATTGCAAAACTAGGCTCAGAAAGGTTAAGTCATTTGCCCAAGATTGCACAGCATCCCAAAGGGATGCTGGGAATCAAGGTACATCTAAGAAGCTCCAAGGCCCTACATGGCCTAGCACACCAATGCTTCCAGTCTTGACTCTCTTCACTCCCTTTTCTTCTACAATCAAACAATCACAAAGTTCCGTGACACCGTCTCTCAAATCAGTTCCTTCTTCTCTTCCCTGTTGCTCTAGTCTAAGCATGCATCATTTTTCACTTATGATCAGCCACGAAATTGGGGTTTCCAATTCCAGATTTTCTCCTGCCATCCTCCATCCACTGTTGGATTGCTTCTCCTAACTGTCTCAGACCTGGTGCTATCTCTTTCCTCTGAAAAACTGCATGCGGCCTCATATTTCCAGGACAAAGTCCTGGCTCTTTAGCCACAGTATATTCAGGTGTGGGTCTTTAGGCCTCCACACCTGCCTCCATTGCAGAGCCAGCCCCATCCCAGACTCCATGCTCTGGCCTTCAGAACCATGGCTCCATATGCTCTCACCCTGCACTTTGCATGTGGTAGCTATCACCTCTGCTAGAAAACCACTTTCCTCCCCTCCCTATCTTCTCCTCCTGTAACCCTCAGCTCAAGCAGAGCAGAGTGAGTCTCCCAGGGGAACCAGGACACTAATCTCCTACAAAGGCATCCCAATAGCTGGACCTGGAATGTCCCCCCAAAGGCACATATGTTAAAGGCTTGGTACCCAGCTTGTGTTGTTATTGGGAGGTGGTGGAACCTTTAAGAGGTGGATGTGCCTTGAGGGGGATAGTGGGATTCCAGGTTCCTCTTCTTTTCCCCGCTTCTACTTCCTGGCCAGATGAGTGGTTTTGATCTACCACATGCTCCTACCCATGTGTACTGTGCTGTCACAAGTCAAAAGCAAGGGACCAACTGATCATGGTCTGGAACCTCCAAATCAAAATAAACCTTTTCTCTTAATGAGTGGATGGTCTCAGTTACCTGTTACAGTAACAGAAAGCTAATAACACAAGCATTCTGTTCCCTTCCCACCTCACAAGCTCCTGGAGGGTCGGGATTGGGTTTTATTCATCTTTTGTGCCCAGAGACCTGGCTATTACTTGGCATGTAAGAGATGTTCAGAAAATATTTTCTGAGACCCCTTGATCCCCCCCACCACCAATTCCTTAAAATTCTGCTCTTTGGCCCCATTCTCTCTAATCCTCTAGTAACTAAAATTCCTTAGCCATAGGTCACTCACCTTCCATACCTGCCCCCCTGCACCTTGGCTTCCCTGCTCCCCAGTACTCTTATTTCACACGTGGATTATGGAGCCAGGCAAGCTGCTTTCTCTCCCCACTTTGCAACCCTTTGACACGTGGTGACTTCCGTTTTACAAAGCGCTTATGCCCAAGAGATCTGAAGGCTCCGGCACAGAAACCTGTTTTAGCAAAAAGTCAGGGGAGGCCCTTTGGGGGATGCCCTGCCAACCACCCACAGGTCATTCTCATGCCTGGGCAGTGAGTCTTCCTTCTTTCTCCTGTCTCCAACTGAGACCTCAGGCTCATGTCTTCCACAAGGAATTTGTCCTAGTCTTAGCATCTCATTCTCCCCGGGGAAAGAGCTCGTGCAGAAGAACTTCCACACTGTGGAGCACCCCCCCTCACAACACCTGCCCTGCCAGCACCCCCAGATTGTAGAGGCCACAGGCCTCCTTGATTTGGTCCTCTCAGAGTTGAGACACACCTCCTCTCCTCCCAATCCTCACAGGGAGGGGCCCACATGGGGACAACTGTATCCTTCACAGCGCTGAAGCTTTTTGGTTTTGGAGAATTTTGTTTTGTTTTGTTTTTTAAATTCCTGAACTAAAATGGTGTGGGTAGAATGGCCATTAACCTGGTTTTAAGCATCACCACTACTCCTGGTGGGACTTTGGGCCCACTACTCAATCACCTTCCTGGGCCTCAATTTCCCCTTGTGTAAACTGAGAGCTGAACTAGCACTAGCTATTCTGTAGAGCGTCTTAGATGACCTTCAGTTGATCTGCTGTGGGGTTTGATTCCAAAAGAACAAATTGAACTATCCTTCAAGGTGGGAAGTGGGAATGATGGCTGGTAGAGAGGCAAGCCCTGCAGAGGCAGAGCTGACCAGGTGGGAACTTTGGAAGGTAAGTGATAAATCCCGCCAGGGACAACACCAGGGCTACTGCTGTCAATAAATAAATAAATAAATAAATAAATAAAAAGGCAAAACAACTGGGCACTGGTGGGTCACATCTGCAATCCTAGCTTCTCAGGAAGCAGAGATCAGGAGGATTGCAGTTCAAAGCCAACCTGGGTAAATAGTTCGCATGAACCTATTTGGAAAAAAAAAAAAAAATCACCAAAAAAAAAGGGCTGGACCCCCAGTCCAAAAAAAAAAAAAAAAAAATGACAAACAGGCCCAGGTGTGGCGGTGGAAGGATTACATGGTAGTGTGAGAATTGTGGTTTGCAATCATCCCTGGCCAAAGGGTTAGTGAGACCCCGCTCTCAACCAATAAAAAGCTGGGCATGGTGGTGCAGCTTAGAGGGAGGAATAAGTAGGAGGATCGCAGTCCTAGGCTGGCCCCAGGCAGAAACGCAAGACCTAACCAAAACATAACTAAAGCAAAAAGGGTTGGTAGCGTGGCTCAGGTGGCAGAAGGCCCTGAGTTCAATCACCAGTCCAAAAAAAAAAAGCAAACAGAACTAGCGTGGGTGGCACATTAGCCCCTAAGGTGATGGGTGCTAGGTGCTAGGGTCCGGTGTAGGGCGGAGAAGGCGGAGCGCTACATTTAGAGAACCGCACGCTCCAGGAGCCACGCTGGGTGCCCTGACCTCTGTCCTGGGGTGATCCAGTCCACAAGGCTCTCTCCTCTAGTCAGGGTTCTCAGGGCCAACCCAGCTGAGCAGCCTCTGCCAGCCCTATGAAGGAAACAGGAAGAGGCACTTGGACCCTGGTTCCCAGAGTGGGAGAAAGGGGTGGGCACCCGGACAGAGGGAGCCCTGGGGATTGGCAGCGGCTGTGGGCAGGGCGCTGGAGGGACGGGGGAGGAGTCAACGTGTACTCGTGAAAAAGTCTGGCGGGGGCCGGGCTCTTCCTTTCCTCCTGCTCCTCCTCCTCCACCCCCTCCCTTCCCCTCCCCTTCTCCCCTCTCTTCCTCCTCCTCCTCCTCCTCCTCCTCCTCCTCCTCCTCCTCCTCCAGCTCAGGTTGCAGCTTCTCTGCGGAGCCGCTCACCTTTCCGGAGCCAGGGGATCTGTCTAGAGCCGGGACAGGGATCCCAGCAGGACGCGGGGCGCGGGGCACGGCGCCCAGCCCCGGGCAGCCCGGCCGCGGCGACCGGGACACGCGCGGTTAGTCCCGCGGGCGGCGCGCCAGGGAGGAGGGAGGTCGCAGGAGGGGCACCGCGGCGCCGGGTTAGCGGAGCAAAGGTAAGCGGAGCGGCCCTTAAAGGCGCCGGGCTGCCTTTGCGCAGGGCGAGATGTTGGAGGGAAAACCAGAGCTACGGGGAGAAATCGGAGATCACTAGGCGCCCGAGTGTATGGCTGGGTGGCCGGGGGATGCCCTGGAAAGGCCACTTTCAAGTCCAGGTGCTCAGGAGGGAGGACTGTTTCGCTGTCGCAGAACCCGCGGGGACTCTCCATCTGGGACTCCCTTTGGCTCCTGGCCTTAGGTCGGAATCCTAAAAAAGCAAAGTTTCCACCCAGTGGCGAGCCAGGCGCTTTCTAAGCTCCCTTCCGTCTGGAAAGGGGAAGGGTCAGGGGTCCCGGGTGACGGGAGGACCCAAGAGTGTGGGGTCAGATTGCTACCTTGAAGGGTTTCTGGGCTCTGATGAACTTTCCAGATCGGCAGGCAGGGGTGGGAGGCCAGAGCCCTGGGGAGAACGTGGAAGATACGTGAAGCCCTGCAGGTCCCAGCGCCGGGGTTGCGGGTTAGGAGGGTCCACGTGTGATGTACCGTGGGACAATGACCGCCCCGCTTCCTCAGCAGTGGCCAAAGGGTTAACGCAGCGGTGGGAAAGGAGGGTGGGTGGCCCGTTGGGCTAAGAAGATGGCTCTGTGCTTGGGGAGAAAATTAGGAATCTGAAATGGGAATGGGGTACGGACTGGAGACCACCCTGTTAGGGGCAGGTTCCCTGTCTGCAGGCCTGGTGGGTTGTCTTTACTGAGGGGTCTGCACCCTCTAGTCCCTCTGGCCTTTAAAGGGCAGAGAGTTGTGACTGTAAAGAGTGTGTATGTGTGTGTGGGGGGGGGGGGAGGCAGGAACAGCGTCAAGAATCTCCTGCTCTTGGCTGCTCCTGTCTACCCCTCATCCTCACCTCCAGCCTAGTCTTCAGCAACCTTTCCCATCTGTGGCTTGTGGCCTGGGCCCTGTGACTCACGAAAACACCAGAGACTGGTCCCTATCTTGCTGTGAGATTCTGCATGTCTGTGTGCCTTCCCCACCCGAGTATGGGCACACAGTACATTCCAGAATCCTCCAGGCCTCCTGAAACATCTGGCTTGCTGCTGCGTCCCAAAGATCCCTACCTGTAGTCTGCCTTGGGAGGGGTCTGGGAAAATGTCACCAAGGGTAGGAAAACAAGGCAGCACTGGCTTCCAGCTTGAATTGCGTCCTGTGAAGTCCTAGAGAGAGGGTCCCATTGCCACAGCCAAGCTCCTGTCCCAGCCTCTTCTTGTGCAGCTGATGGTGCAGAAGGACTGACCTCGTCCTTGCCCTCAGCCTTGAGGGTGCCTCTGACCATGAGTTTCCTAGAACTATCCCCACTGGGAGCACATGCTCTGCCCACTCATGCCAGGAGAAGGTTTCTAAATGGAGCTCTGCCTGTGGAGTCTTCAATAAGTTAGATCCCATTTCTTGATGTCTTTGAGGCTACTGTTTTTGAATATCTGCTGTGTGCCAATTATACACAATTTATAGGTCAGGAAACTGAGACACTGAGATAGACATTAGCAAGGTTTTATAGAGAAGGGACCCAGCCCACTTCTAGCTGTCCCCTAGCTGTCCCCCAAACCTGCTCTCAACCCGTATCCCATCCTGGATAGGTTCCAGCCCCTCAGGAGTCCTCTGGTTCTGCCTCAGTTCTCGGGGGAAGGAAGGACGGAGGTGGTGCTCTGACTAATGAGGCTCCCAATTGTCCTGTGCCTGGCAGAGCCAGGCTTTACCATGGCTGGCAGGAGAAAGGGACCAAACCCAAGGAGCAAGTAGGTTCATCTGGGCTCTTGTTGGAAGACCTCCCCTGCTGTATAAGGGAGATGGGTCTTCTTTCCGACTGTGTTTTTTCCTCTATAAACCGTGTGTCCACTGTCTAGCTGGTCCTTTCCAAGCCCAAGGGAACAGACCCCCCTCCGTGAGGCAGAGCCTGACTTGATTTTTCCAGCTTTTACCCCCTGGCCTCTCCTTTTTGGGGTCACCCTGTGTTGGACTTCTGTGCAGCGTCTCTGTGGATCCCTCTGCTGATTCTTTCCTTCCCTAACTGAGCTGGGGACCTAAAGGGGAAGGAGGGCAGACCTTGGGCCTTATTGGGACTCCAGCTCCAGTTTACACTAGCTCTGTGACTTTCCACCCCCAACAATCTCCTGATCTTTCCAAGCCTCAGTTTCCTCATGTGTGAAGCAGGGTTCATAATAGGAAGGGCTGGTATAGGAATTAAGTGAAATCGTGTCCTGTGCCCAGGAAAGAGGTTAATTATCTGGGAGTAGCCGGTCACAGTGGTGGTGGTGATTTCAGAAAGGGTATTTCCTTAGTGATGCCCCAGGGCTGGCCCTAGGGTAGAGACCCAGTAAGCAGGCCAAGCCTTTAGGCAGAAGCTTCCTGCTCTTCCAGGTTGGGCAGGAGGGCTCTGCATGAGGGAGTGGAGGAGCTGGATAGAAACCTCCCGGGAAGGACCAGGAATTGGTGCTGAGGCTACCTTCCAGTTTCTAGTGAGTGAGGAGGCCTGGGCGCCTAGGGGCAAGGGGCCCTTTCCTTGTACTTAAGTATCTACAGTCCCTGTTCTGCTTTGTTGTCCTTGAGGGAGTGGCTGGCCTGGATCCAGAACCACCTGGTTAGCTTCATGCCTTTGGGAGTATTTCATGTTTCTTTTCCCTGGTTCTGTGTCTCTCCATGACCCTCTGTCCGCTACGCTGGACCCTTTGCCCTCACCCTCCAAGCATTTGCTGCTGAGTGGGCACTTTCTCAGCTCAGGAGGTGGAGATAGACCAAAGTTAGTCTTGTCCTGGCCCCTGTAGCTAGAGAGAGAAAGAGAGAGAGAGAGAGAGAGAACACAGCTTTCAGATGGTCCAGGGCCCAATCACTACAGGACTGTGCCATGGCCGGAAGGAACTGGCCCATGGTGCAGTCACAGACTGGGAAGAGGGAAAGCTGTGGGCACGTGTCAGCCAGCCCTCCAGCCTGTGGGAGCCCATCTGCTTCCAAAGTCCCTATGGCTCAGTCCGCAGGGGAAAGAGACTAGGGAAGCAAGTGGGAGGTTTAACTTTGAACTGAAAATGGTCTTGAAGCTTCCTGACAGCATGTGTGACCCTGGTGATTTCAGGACACCCTGCTCTGGGAGGCATTAGCCCAAACTTTTGGAGGGACATTGGTAAGGAGCCTCTTTTTTGCAACTTTTGATATTGTTTCCCCGTTCCCCTCCCAGCCCCATTATCTGAAGTCTTCCCTGGAACCAGGGGTGGGGGTAGAAAAGATGGCCCAATAGTGGCTGGTTGATGTTTTCATTCATTATTTGTGTGCTGAGTTTATGTCTCCTGTCCACCACGGGTGGAGGAAGTTAAGGGCTTTGGGTTAGTTTAAATCCTGGCTTTGCCACTCAATAACGGGTTGCCTTAGGTCAAGTCATTCGCTCATCCAGTATCAGCCTCTGAGCTTTAAAATGGGGAGGGGTAACGGTATTGCCTCATGGGCTTGGGAGGAGTCCAATGAGATCATGTCCTCCCTATGTCATTATTAAGGGGTGGTGGCACACCGAGTTGGTAGGCCACCCTTGGCAGTTAGTACCTTTGACCTCTACTTGACATCTTTTCTAAAGTCAGGATCTCTGAAGACAGTAGGGCTCAGGTCCCAAATTAGAAAGGGAATTCTCTTTCTTAAAATATGCCAGTCATTGCACACAAACCTGTAATCCCAGCACCAGGGAGACTGAGGCAGGAGAATCTTGAGTTTGGGGCCAGCCTGTGCTACATAATATGACCCTGTCTCAAAAACAACAAAACAACCCCTCCCCTGGTGTTTCTTCCTTCACTCAGAACACCTGTTCCATTTTATCATCGTCACAAGAAATTTTGGCAAAGTTCCAGAATGATTTCTCTATTTCTGCCTGTACACCTTGCGTCCCTAAGGAAGCCTGCCCCTTTTTCCCTGGGGGATGCCCTCAGGAACCAATCCTTTTCTCCTCTGCTGCTCCCAGCCACCTCGCAAAGGAGACCCTGGTGGAATTACCAGACCAGGAGGAGGCATGGCCGTCCTTCCCACATCCTGGTGGCAGGTATGCAGAAGGTGCCATGATGAGGGCATCACTCATGACAGAAGCAGCACAGAGTCTCCTCTAGATGAGGCCAGCCAGGGTCCCCGAGTCCTTCCCTGAATCTAACCCGGAGCCCAGCTGGCAACATCCTCTGCTGTGGCTGGGCTGGGTGCCACAATTCTGTACTGATGTCAGTTCTGACGTGGCATCTTCTTTGTGGAAGTTGCCCTGATGGGGCTGTGACTTTCTTGGCTATGGTGCCCATAGCCGTGGCAGAGCAGAAAGAACATTGAATTCCAGGTGACAAGCCCACAGTTGTGGTGTCAGCTCTGCCCTGCCACTCTGAACAACATTGGACAGGTCACCTCCCTTTCATGGTCTTGCCTTCTTAGTCCAAGACAAGAGCACAGACCTGAGGGCTTTTTTTTTGGTGGTACTGGGGTTTGAACTCATGGTCTTCATTTGTTAAGCAGGCGCCCCACCAGTTGATCCATGCCTCCAGCCCTTTTTGCTCTAGTTATTTTTTGAATAGGGGCTTGCATTTATGCCCAGGCTGGCCTGGACAACCATCCTCCTAGTTATTCTTCCAGACTAGCTGGGATGAGAGGCATGCATCACCACATCTGCTTTTTATTGGTTGAGATGTGGTCTCCCTAACTTTTTTTCTGGATGGCCTTGAATCTCCATCCTCCTGATCTCTATCTCCCAAGTAGCTGGGATTACAGGCATAGGCCATCGTCCACGGCTCAGATTAGGGGCTTTCAAAAGCCTATCCAAGACTGCTGGGTTTTGGCTCCAGCTTTTGTTGGTGAGTTATGCTCTGAGACCCCTGGAGAGACTCAAGCTTCTTTTCCTCCAAATTTCAAAGCACAGAGGCTTCCTCCACCTGATACCTGGATACTCAGTTCTTGCCATGGCTCAGATGGGTAAGGAAACTCTAGAAGTCCTTACCTTGTCAAGTGTGAGGAA